AAATTTAAATATTTCTTTTAAACATATTTCATTCCAAACAGTGCATGTTTACCATTGCTACTAATTTATAATGATAAATCACGATATCTATCACAATCATCAATGCTTTTATATAAAGAACTGATTGTGAGTATGAATACTGTTAAAAACAAAATGAATAACCATTGAATAATAATAGATAGGAGAACACGTTGAATGAGAATGCTTGGAAAAATATGGTAGGACGGGGCACAAAGGTCCAATTTGACTTTGAACAATTATATCACAACAAATACCACTGTTATTAATAACAAATTATATCAAACAAACAACTATCTGACTATGTTCAGTAAAACTTCCAGCTAATTAATTCATCATAGTAGAAACATGCTGTTTTTCAAAAACTTGTGCAACACACTTGTCCAATGTGTCATTTTAATTTTAGAGGGATTTTACAAAATAATAGCTACATTTTTCTACTATTGCAAAGTATAAATTTCATGGGTCCATTTTTTAATGGAGATAACACTGTAAATAACCTTTGATTTGGTATTTCGTCAAAAATCTTCATCAGCAGAGTTGAAACGACTATTTATTTCATTTATTTCTTATAAAATTGCTTTTAACTTAATTTACTTTTGTATTTGCTATTTTTATTTTCAAAACTTTTGCCATGGTAAAGGTTTAGTTGGTCCTTTTTATCCCACCCAGGTGTTAGCTTTTATAGAGATGATATAAAAAAACTTGAATCTAAATTAAAATTAATAATACATCTTATGAAATAATTAAAAAATATATACCTAAAAATTATATTAAGGTCTCGTAAACTAAGCAACAGTACTCAAAACCAAACCAAATAACAACAAAAAAAAAACTTTTGTTATGAATTTTCAAACGATGTCGTTTTGCCCCGATAGCAAATTCTTAAGAAACAAGATGATAGCAGGTTTTTGTTACACATCCTTTTACCTCTACTTTCAAATATTGTTATTAAAAAAATCTTAACTTTACTGATTTCTGAGATAAGTGGTGGACCTTTTTGCCAGCGGACCTTTAAGCCCTATCCACTCAACATCTCCCAAAGTCTTATTTTAAGGTGAAGCAATAGGTAATAAGTAATTAAAGTAATAGGTAAACATCGATATCCAACTTTTTATCTATTCACTCTAAAAAAACCGTATCAGTCGATTTCAATTTTTATTTAAATTGATTTAAATATCTATGCTGATAGATATTGCTATATGGCAAATTCTACAGTTTTATTGAAGCTATGCAATAATAAAAAAATTAAAACTAAAAACTGAATTTTGTTTATTTCAAAATAGAAAATATGAGCACTATTTTCTGCAATATTCGGATTTCAAAAATGCAATAATTCAAACGCACATCAAACAATATTGACGACCATTTTTCAATATCTAATAATATATACAAGCTTTCCGTCTAATAACGATAAAGCACGATAAGTCAGCTAGATATTGTGATACGAATTTGATATAGAAACCCTATAGAAATATGTGATGGACTTTTATTCAATTAGTCACGCATATGATTTGATGTTTGAGAGCACGTCTACTTACTAAATATGGTTTCATGCCTTTTGTACTTTTTTAGATTAGTTAATGCATTAGTCAAAGTCGATCGTAGCTTGAAATATGATCTATTCACGCTTTAAAATTATGACAAGGTAATATAAAGATTTAGTTACGTTGAACACTAATAAGGTATTATAGTGGATACTTTCACATTCACAAACTGTGATTATTAAATAAGACAAATATTTGATTGTACACGAATAGTTGAATAGTTGAAAATGGTATCTCTTTAACCACAAATATTTTTGGAAATTAATTCCATGCTATTTTGATATATTTTGAATAATTTGTCCATATAAAATTCATATATAAACTAATTTCCAAACTTTACTATAAGTAATTTTATTTCTAACACCTATACCCCGTTTTACGCGGTACACGTTTTACACGTTATCGATCTTATACGGTTTATGAAAATAATGTTTTTTAAACAAAATTTATTAATTTTGCATTTACACAAAATTATAAACACTAAACTATAATTTGCTTTTTCTGCAATAATATTTTCATTGATTAACTGTCAAAATACAACAAATACATAGTACTGCAAAATGTATGTTACAGTTACTATTATTATTAGTCTTGGCAAGACTCTGAAATAATATTATTATCATTGATTACTGCTTGCTTATGAATAAAGAAATAAATAAAGTTTATGTCTATGATGAAAAATCCCTGTTTTATGATCAAAATTAAATTTTATGTGTGTGCATGCTAGTTCGTTTAAAGTACCAAAGCAAAGAGCATAGTTGTTTTTAAACTTTGTTCTTAATTAGTGTTTATATATAATTAATTGCAAAATGAATTCCTAATTCTACTTTTTATCTAAATTCAATATTTAAATTAGTTTTTTTATATTTTTAACTTCCCGAAGGTTTATGTTTTCATCAAAAAATCCGAATTGCTAATTTTATGTTTTCTCGACGTTTCAAGCCATTCTGAATCAAATGAGACCAATTTTGGAAAAAGTATGTGTGTGTATATGTGAACAGATTTTTTGCCGTAAATCAATGTTTTCTCGAAAACGGCTGGACCGATTTCAAACATTTAAAAGCCACTCGATGTATCTCGATGACTATTGTTTGTCAGTTTTGTGCGATGATTGGCCAAGCCGTTTCATTATAAATCGCAGAAAAGTGAAAAAATTTTCGTCTACGTTTTAGGCCTCAATTCTGAATCGATTTAGAAAATATAAAAACCGTTCGAAAGATATTGGGAATCGTGCTGATTAGTTTTTGGTAGAGATCGGCCGGGCCGTTTTCTTGTAATAAAGTTTAAAAAAAAATTCGACGATTTTTATGATTATTTTTTTGACGGTAGATACCATAGTCTTGTAGATCATACTAAAATATTACGGCCCTACGACAACTGGTTTAGCTTTAAAAATTCGTCAAAGTTTGCAAAAATTAGTATGGTCTTTTTGACATTTGTCAAAATTAGAACTTTCATAGACGTTTACTCAAAAACGCCTGAACCGATTTCAAATATTTAAAAAGCATTCGATGTATCTCGATGAGGGTTATCGTTTCTCAGTTTTGTGCGATGATCGGCCGAGCCGTTTCTTTGTAATTTGGAAAAAAGTGTTAAACCTGTCGTCCACATTTAAGCTCATACTACCAAACCGATTTAAAAAATCAAAAACTGTTCGAAAGATATTAGTTTGGGAATGATACTGATTAGTTTTAGGTTAAAATCTACCGAGCCGTTTTCTTGTAATTAACTGTTTGAAAAAAAATTAAGCCGATTTTCATAGAACTTTTTTTGGCGATATCATGGTCTTATAGAACTTACTAAAATATTACGGCCTTACGACAAGTAGTTTAATTTTAAAAATGTATCAAAGTTTGAGAAAATGAGTAGTTTTTTTACGGAAAATGGTTCAATTATAAAAATTATTGATTCTTCAAAATTTGCCTTAAGAAAATACTTTGTGATCGTGCGTTCGTTTTCAATGATGGGTAATAAATCTACTCGGAATACTTATAATCACTCATAAATTAATTTATTTTTTATTAATTAAGTCGATTATTTACACATTTCGGGAAGTTCATGTAACTTGCCTCAAGGCAAAATACCAATACCAACTAGTTTTATTATTGTAATAAATTAATATTCTTTATTTATTAAATGTGTTTGATGATAAATATATTAATATTTATTTTTCGTAGAATATGTTTGTTACTCAATATATTAAAAACAAATTATTACAAATTATTTGTTGTTATTGTTATTCATAATTTTAAGACAAAAAAAAATAGATAGAGTTCCTGGTCCAAATAAACTTATCAAAGTGCGGCAAGTGGTTAAAATTGTGATAATTAATTAAAGTTGGCGCGCTTTTAAAAACTCTGTATTAGACTCGTGTTCGTTTTTTCTAATTAATGTGCAATATTTCAACCATTTGTCCAAATAACTAACATTTAAAAGAAATTGTAAGAAATTAAATAATTTTCAATAGTTTCTCAAATTAAAATGCTCTACATCGACTCGGTATACTTTTAAATCACTCATGTATTATATATTTATTTCTTTTTGATTAAGTCGTTTACTTACAGATTAAAACCTCAATTTAACGTTTAATTTTCCAAGTTTATATACAATTTTTCGTATTTCTTTCTAAACGCAAAATGATTTCGCAATCAATACGCATATAATTTTATGAAGATTTTCCAAATTTTCTTAAATTTTAAGTGTCCTACACCGCCGTTTGACTATATTATTCTAATTAAAAATTGAAGGTATATAGGTACATAAAATATGGGTAATGACAGAATATATAAATAAAATCACAATGAAGTAATTTCAATGTTGAATTAGTAGTCTACCTAAGGCCCAAAATCAGCTCAGGGGGGGTCATGTATCCCGTGGCCCCCCGTGGATCCACTACTGTTTTATAGTGATTTTTGTTTAGTAGGGTTTATTAATATAAAAGTGAATTTGTTGATTTGCACTTTTTCATTGAATCTATCCTCCGTGTAAAGGGAGTGATATGTGTAATTAAAGCTTATACTCAAATAAAGAATGCATTACCTTAAAATTTTAATTCAAAAGTCTAAATTACTTCTAAGAATTGCCGTTATCTGAATAAATTTAGGAAGTCATTTTTCTACTAGCAAAAGTTAGCACTACAAAGTAACAACAACTTTGAATCTTAAAGTTGTAATTGATGTAATGTTATACAAAGTTATAGTTAACTCTATATTATTAAATCACATGCGCTGCTTTTTGAATTGACAATAAGAATTTAAAATCTACAATTAAAAAAGCATAACATCAGATTCCTGTGCTATCTGAAAGTAAAATATGGAAGAAATGTTGATAAAACAATGTGCCTTATCACAAATAACCAAAAACATACAATAAATATGTCAAAATAATACATCATATATCTATGTCCTATTACAAACATAAATTTCCAATACTCACAGATAAAGTGTCTATTCTTGTTTGTCTAATGGTCCGCAGTCGTGGTTTATGCCATATATTGTAACTGTCATAATCTGTAAATAATAATTAATTTTTGATTAAATATTGATAAAAATTTGATTAATATTAGTAGTCATAATTTAAGGATAATTTGGAAACATTTTATGATAGTGTTAAATTTATAAGCTTGCATCATGACTGATAGGACTTAAATGATAACTTGGTAGTATGGTTTTAAATTCTTATAGATATAAGTAAAAGCTTTTACAATTATACGTATAATCTTATTAAATACGTGTAAGATGTCTGCTAATAGTTGAATTTGTAAAATAGCTTATATTTAAAAACCTATTAGAATATTTAAATAATTTTACTTTTAGTAAATTTATGGTATATTCCAATGTTTGGAATTAAATTTTACTATTACAGATTTAGTTTAGACATTTTAATTATTCATATTATCATCTAATGTATCTTAATGTACCTTGATTTTGCAAATTAGCTTATATTTAAAAAAGCTGTTAGAATATTTAAATAAGTTTATTTTTAGTATGTTTATAGTATATTTATGTTCGGAATTGAATTTTACTATGATAGATATATTTTAGACATTTTAATTATTTATATTATTATCTCATAAATCACAAGTATCACTTCTAGGTAAATGGGTTTCCTTTCTTATTATTTAAAATAGTAACATTTCGGTTGCATAGAGCAAAGTTCAGTTTTGATGTGCGTTAATAAATTAACAAACAACCGCTAAAAATAAACAAAATCATTATATTTCTATAAATAATTTTACGAAACAATATGCAAATGTGAAACGCACATTCAGTTTGAAAATAGAAACGATTAGAATAAATAATTTTCAAATAGAATTCATTTCAAATAAAGCAAATAGCTCTTTCTGGGGTTTACTGCATTAAATTAAAAATCATCCCTATGAAAGAAATTGTAATAACATTCATCACATAGGGATATATTAACAGTTGGTCTTCTAAAAGCCACGTTGTTAAGAAAACATTCATGAAAACGACTTTCAAATAAATATATAAACTAGTGGTGCCTTGCATTCTGTCCTAAGGCAAATTACTGAAATTTTCTGATAATGCAACATTCGAGAAAAAATCTACAATCAATAAAAACTATAGTGGGGTGCATGGCATCGTGCCTTAAAGCAACTTGCTGGAACTTCCCGTACCGTAATTAAAGATCATGGTACAAAACCCCAAAAAATTTACACAAAATGAGTACTCATTATTAAAATCTCTATAAAAATAGCTGATAATTTGATGTACATATGTCCAATGAACATTTTTTACCGCCAAATGACATTTTTTTAACTTATTTTGCTGAGAGTCCTAGACCTGCCTTCTCAAAAATTTAATCTTTTTGAATTATTAAAATCGAACGCTCAGTTCTCTTAAAAACTGAGTTACCGCCAAAAACTAATTAGCACGTCTCTTTATCAATACGAATCGAATGTTTTTTTAATTATTCAAATCCGGAAATCGTCGACGAAAATTTGTATCCGCACATAAACATACATCAATTTTTTTTAAGGTATGCCAACATGTTCAAAAACCTTTGAAACGTAAAGATATATAAACATTTTCATTATCGATTTTTTTGCGATTACTATAACTTACCCTACGTGAGGTTAAAAAAAATGTATTAAAGCTTATTAACAATTGTTTTAAATATTTCTAAATAGATTATTATAAATACTGTAAGTTTCTTAATTCGTATTTTATAGACAAAATATAAAAGCTTATAAATCAGGCAAAGAACGCTGTTGTAATTCTAAACGTTATATTTCTTGGTTCAAAAAAACGGAAACAACATTTTTACTCATTATTAAAATCTGTATGAAATGCCTGATAAATCTATGTGCTAGGTAATTTTTGAAACTTTTTTCCTACATGTCCGAAACTGCTGGACCTGCCTTTGAACTAATAAGCATATCTTCCATTAATAGGAATTAATAAAATTTTTGAATCATCCAATTGGCTGATATGTGCTCTCAGAATCGTAAACTAAAAATTGTATCCAAACATATACAAATACCATGTAAATATATGCAAAAAAAAATATTTTCGATTTTAATGAGAGACTCTACGAGAAGTTTAATATCAAATCAACTTCAACATAGTCACAAAATCATCAAGTAGTTATTAGTGTTAGTGTTGATTTTGCCAAACTTTAGTATTAGTTTTTCAAAATATAAACGTATAAATCATTATATATTACATTTCTTGCAAAATAATGTTTCAATTTTTCCGAATAAA